AATTCTATTTCTGGTTGTTTTCCCGTTGGAATTGATGGAAAGGTCACTTGCTGGGTCTCGTTCTGTTCCCAGACAAATCTCAGTGGCTCATCTACAATAGAGGCTGTGTTCTGCCATGTTGCTCGCCGACTCCCGCTGCTGCATCTGCCAGGCACAGTCTCATCAAGGCTGGATGCTATTTTAATCCTTACATGAGTCAGTCCATAATTTACAGGATAAAGGAAGGTTATTTTTAATTCCAGAAAAAGAGATCTTTGCCTGAATTTGTATAGTTCAAAACTATGGTGATGCTAATGCATGGTGATTATAGTCAAACATATATATAGCAACATGGTATGTTGGTTTTGTCACTGAGAACCCAGTGAGAAAAATGTATCCGGCGTGGGATTTCTGTGTCGAAAATAAGTGTAATGTAAATCTTCCCCAACAACCTTATCTAACACCAAGCCCGGGTTCACATATATGTGGCTCGGTACATCGCATGTGATTTGCACAGGAACCGTACAGCACTCCTGTGCAAATCACATGGGAATTGTGTGCAGTGCGATTGGAGTCATACATTTTGTATGGCTCTAATTGCACTCTAATTGCACCGCACCGCTCTAGAATCGGATCACATGGGTATTCATACCTATACGATCCAATTCTGCACATCCCACTGCGTTTTGCGGACCGATTTCGGGGTGTTGTTAACTTAACATACACACCCGCAGCGGTTCGCATGAATGGGGTGCGATTTTGATGCGGTGTAGAATTTGCACAGAAAACCCTGTGAATTCCGCACTGCATCTGTGTGAACCCAGGCTAAAACTGGCCATACAATATGCAATCTGACTGTATGTACAGTTTGCTTCAGACCTAATAAAACTATGCAACGTGAGGACAAACCTAAACAATCCATTTACTTTGTATCAAATCAGGCAGGCACTTATACCACATAGTTGATGGTAGATCTAAAGAAGATTGTATAATTAGTTTGTATAGCATATGGTCAGCCTAAAGTGAATCTAAACCAGTGGTTCTTAACCTTGTTGGAGGTACTGAACCCCACCAGTTTCATATGCGCATTCACCGAACCCTTCTTAATTGGAAAAATAAAATACGATTTTTAAAATTCAAAACATAGGTATATATTTAGGTATATATTTATACATAGGTGCACAAAATGAACAAAACCGTTAAGAACAAAGAACAAAACCATTAAAACATGATTTTCACACAAAAACAAAAACATAATATTTTTACTGCACGAATCATATGAGTCGGGTGTGGGTCTTCACCTCCGCCGAACCCACGAGACTGACTCACCGAACCCCTGGGGTTCGATCGAACCCAGGTTAAGAACCACTGATCTAAACACAAAGTTTTTTTTTTTGATCTTAATGCATTCATTGCATTAAGGTACAAAATGCCCCACTATCTTTCCTACCCCTCCATCCATAATATTTACCTGAATCCTGTCACTGATCCAGCGCTGTTCCAGTTGCCACACTGCTCTCTTCACTTCCTGCTTCCATAGGAGAAACAGGTAGCAGCAAGAGTCATAGACTCCCACTTTAAGACCAAAAAAATGTTTCCTTGAAGTAGAACTATAGGCAAAATTTTTATTTTCATTTTGGATAGAGTAAGGGAGGGTTATTTATTTCAGGTACTTATATAGCGCCATTAATTTATGCAGCGCTTTACATATATATTGTACATTCATATCAGTCCCTAACCCTCAAGGAGCGTACAATCTAAGGTCCCTAACTCACATTTATACATACACATACTAGGGCCAATTTAGACAGGAGCCAATTAACCTACCAGCAAGTTTTTGGAGTGTGGGAGGAAACCGGAGTACCCCGAGGAAACCCACATAGGCACAGGGAGAACATGCAAACTCCAGGCAGGTAGCGCCGTGGTTGGGGGTTGAACCAACGACCCTAGTACTGCCAGGCAGAAGTGCTAACCACTTAGCACTGTGCTGCCTGTTAAAATACCTATCAGATTCTTTTTCACCACCTATGTCCCATTGGGGAGATTTAGCTTTACTTCCTGTCCTATAGCCAAACAGGAAGTGAGAAAATATCCTCTCTATTACTTTTAATGGGAAAGCTCAAAATTTGGGATTTTATTTTGCTTTCATTTCAATGATAATGATAAACAGGACAAACAGGGTGAATCTCCCTAATGGGAGCACAGACAGCAATAAAAAATGTCAGGGGTTCCAATCCATCTCCACTCCATCCAAAACTAAAAAAAAAAAAAAATGTTTGCCTTTAGTTATACTTTAAATATCATTTTAAGGTCATTCCTCACATCTAAAAGGAGTACACAGTGGTTTTGTATATGTTGTTTTTATTCTTTGTTATGGTTAGGACTTGTGAGTGGGGTGAGTGAAATAGATAATTCCCCTAAATATTGGTGAAATGCTTGGAGTCAATAGAGAATACGGATGCAACAATCCAGTTTTTTTTATCGGTGAGTACTGACACTTGTACTCGAGTACTCACGACACCAATTACCATTACTTTTGCAGTTGCGATTTGAGCCAATACAAAATGAATGGGCTCAAATTGCACTGCAAATACAGTGCGATTCCTGTCCATATCACATACGATTTCTTCACTGGCGCGGTGCGATTTTCAGTGCAATTTGAGCCATTCATTTTGTATGACTCAAATCACACCTCACCTGCAGGGAAACTGCATTTGATTTGGAAATGAATCACACCGCATTCCTATTCAAATCTCATGCGGTTCTTTCCAGTACGTTTTGAGCCCATTCATTTTGTATGGACTCAAATCACACCACAAAGGTATCAGTTTTAGGAATTGGAGCATTTGGACAAGTGCAAGTACTCGTGCAAGTGCTCAGTATCGGCACCAATACCAGTATCAGTAGCGATGCAATCCTAACTGAGAAGGTTAAAATAAGGTATTTTTGTTAGCTTTTAGGGTGCATTGGGCTTTAACTGGCTCCTGAGGGTTGTGGAAGGTCCTTCTAATCACCCTGGAACCTCGACCTGTTTCTGTGCCAATAATTGTCCCTCATTAGTACTGTAACAGATCAATACTGCTCCAAGCCTGCAGTATCAGTCTTCCAGGTGTACTCTCTGTATTCAGGTGCTGGCAGAGATAGAGAACATCTTACTCCAAATTATAGGAAGCGCTGGAAACTGAGCTGAAGCCTGCCTTTCATTTGCCTTACATTGGAACTGAGTATAATGTTCAGCACAACGATCATTACAGTTATTTTTTTTTCATAAAAATAAAAAAAGCACAAAAAAAAGGTAAAAAATTGTAAGATTTATTACAGACAAAAAATAACCCACAAATACAAAGAACACTAAATAAAAATAAACTGAACTATCATAAATACATCAAATAAATGGTGGATTTTTTGTTTTAAATAAAAAAAAATTCACCTAAACAAAGTTTTCATGTTTCTTCTTTAGCTGAAAGGAGAACTTCACTCTCTCAATCAGCAATGACTATTTTTAATCCTTATGCTACTAATATCAGCAAATAGATAAGAAGGTACTGTATATTATATTGTTTTAAACTTTTTTTTTTTCAATTACTTCCTGGTTTCCAGGCCTAGGCAAATGTTGTAGATTTCAGCTAAAGGCAGATGGATTCCTGGAAGTAAATACTACTTGATCATTTGCCCTTACTCAAGATGGCTACAGCCAGAAATGCTAGGAGGGTGTTTTGAAAGTGATTTCTTAGCTAAATAAATCATGGAGACCTGGATGGATGGGTGAGCTTGCTTTGAAAAGCAAAAATTATCTAAATAGCATTTTTGGTTTGTAGTGCTCAGATGCAGTGTAGTTCCAATTTAAGCAATAATTTTGTTGCAAAAACTAAACATTAGGGCTACAAAATAAATGTTGTATTCTTTTGTCAAATATTGTATTAAAATATGTTAAATTTCTCTTTTTGAAACAACAGAGCTTCAACAACTTCAAGTCCAGACACTTTCACCCCTTTCAATCCAGGCCAATTTTCAGCTTTCATCACTATTACTCAGTCATGCAACACTGTACCCATATTAAGTTTTTATCTGTTTCTTGAGACAGATAGAGCATTCTTTTGCTGATATTTGATCACCACTGGGTTTTTTCTTTGCTATATAAATGTTATAAAAATGTTGCATATAGATAATATGTCTTCATAAATTTAGGCCAAAATGTATTCTGCTACATTTTTGGGGTAAAAATAACCCAAAACAGTTTCTATTTAGTCTATGTGAAATCTATAGAGTCTACAAACTATGGGATATATATTTGAAAATTGATCAGTTGAGATCCTAACATGCCGGTCACTGGTATGGCATATGGCAGTGATCAGGGTGCTCGTATGGGGTATGGCGGTGATCAGGACATTAGCATGAGGTATGGCGGTAATTAGGACGCTGGTTTTGCTGTAGCCAGGACACTGGTATGGGGTATTTACACATGTTCTTAGGCTAATTTAACGCCGATAAGGCTCTAAATGAATTTAGTTAACACCTTAATTAGCCAGAACCTGTGCACTTAATATGTGTTTGGTTTTAAAGGGATGGGGTGGCAACCCTATGGTGATCAGAGTGATGGTATGGGGTATGGCAGTGATCAGGATGCTGGTATTGAGTATGGTGGTGATCAGGATGCTGCTATGGGATATGGCAGTGATCAGAATTCTGGTATGGGATATGGCGGTGATCAGGATGCTGGTATGGGATATGGCGGTGATCAGGATGCTGGTATTGGGTATGGCGGTGATCAGGATGCTGCTATGGGGTATGGCAGTGATCAGGATGCTGGTATGGGATATGGCGGTGATCAGGATGCTGGTATGGGATATGGCGGTGATCAGGATGCTGGTATGGGGTATGGTGGTGATCAGGATGCTGCTATGGGGTATGGCAGTGATCAGGATGCTGGTATGGGATATGGCGGTAATCAGGATGCTGGTATGGGGTATGGCGGTGATCAGGATGCTGGTATGGTGTATGGTGGTAATCAGGATGCTGGTATGGAGTATGGCGGTGATCAGGATGCTGGTATGGGATATGGCAGTTATCAGGATGCTGGTATTGGGTATGGCGGTGATCAGAATGCTGGTATGGGGTATGGCGGTGATCAGGATGCTGGTATGGGATATGGCGGTGATCAGGATACTGGTATGGGGTATGGCGGTGATCAGGATGCTGGTATGGGTATGGCGGTGATCAGGATGCTGCTATGGGGTATGGCGGTGATCAGGATGCTGGTATGGGGTATGGCGGTGATCAGGATGCTGGTATGGGGTATGGGGGTGATCAGGATGCTGGTATGGGGTATGGCGGTGATCAGGATGCTGGTATGGGATATGGCGGTGATCAGGATACTGCTATGGGGTATGGTGTGATCAGGATGCTAGTATGGGGTATGGCGGTGATCAAGATACTGGTATGGGGTATGGCGGTGATCACAATGCTGTTATGGGATATGGTAGTGATCTAGGGTTGCCACCTCATCCCTTTAAAACCAAACACATATTATTTACATGTGTGGCACAGTGGCTTAGTGGTTAGCACTTCTTCCTTGCAACAATTGGGACATGGGTTCAATTCCCAACCATGGTGCCTCCTGCATGGAGTTTGCATGTTCTCCCTGTGTTCGTGTGGGTTTCCTCTGGGCACTCCGGTTTCCTCCCACACTCCAAAGATATGCTGGTAGGTTAATTGGCTCCTGTCTAAATTGTCTTAGTTTCATCCCTGGCCACGTGGGATTTCCTGCATGGTAGGGGTTGGGGAAAGACCTGGCAACCTACCCTGTTAAATAATTGTTAAGAGAATTCATGGAAAAAGCCGCTTACAAGTGACAGTCCGTGAAACCGCCAAGGGTCGGATATGACTGAATGGATAGAGATAGATAGAGATTATTTACAGAGGTGAATAAGTTTAGTTAACACCTTAATCAGCCAGAACCTGTGTAACTAATATGTGTTTGGTTTTAAAGGGATGAGGTGGCAACCCCTATGTGATCAGGGTGATGGTATGGGGAATGGCAGTGAACAGGATGCTGGTATGGTGTATGGAGGTGATCAGGATGCTAGTATGGGCTATGGCAGTGATCAGTGTTCAGGATGCTGGTATGGGGTATGGCGGTGATCAGGTTGCTGGTATGGGGTATGGCAGTAATCAGGATGCTGGTATGGTGTATGGAGGTGATCAGGATGCTGGTATGGTGTATGGATGCTGGTATGGGCTATGGCAGCGATCAGGATGCTGGTATAGTGTATAGAGGTGATCAGGGCGCTGGTATGGTGTATGGAGGTGGTCAGAGCACTGGTATAGTGTATGGAGGTGATCAGAGCACTGGTATAGTGTATGGAGGTGATCAGAGCACTGGTATAGTGTATGGAGGTGATCAGAGCACTGGTATAGTGTATGGAGGTAATCAGAGCACTGGTATAGTGTATGGAGGTGATCAGAGCACTGGTATAGTGTATGGAGGTGATCAGAGCACTGGTATAGTGTATGGAGGTGATCAGAGCACTGGTATAGTGTATGGAGGTGATCAGGGTGCTGGTATGGCATATAGCAGTGATCAGGGTGTTGGTATGGGGTCTGGCGGTGATCAGGACACTGGTATGGTGGTGATCAGGACATTGGTATGGTGTATGGGGGTGTTTTGTGTGCGCTGGGACAGGTGACAGGGCCTCCCTGCATTATTTATTATAGATATTGTGAGGCAGGGAACCGGGACACAGGGGCACTAAACTGGGGCACTGGGATGGCTGGCACTGCAGATTGTGAGTGTAGAAGCAGCTTGACATGCTGCTGTACACGCACACACTGCATGATTGCTTCTCTCTGCTCTCACACAAAATGATCTCCCTCTGATGATGAAATGTTACAATTTATTTACATTTCTGAGCTCAGTGTAGATCATGTTCACATTGATACATTGTATACTTTTCACTTTCTGGCCAATACAGAGTTCTTCCAGTTGTTATTTTGTACATTTCTAAAATACTGGCAGCAAACACCAGCTGATAAATAACGAATTTGTGTTTTTTTGTAAATTGATTTTAAAGTGAAGTTCCAGTTAATTTAAAAAAAAAAAAAAATAAAAGTCAGCAGCTACAAAAACTGTAGTTACTGACTTTTAAAATACAGACACTTACCTATCCCTCAGTCCAGCGGTGTCCTCTCCATGGCTGGTTTCACTGGCCATCTTCTATCCCCGGCGCCCCATCTTCAGTGTAGACACCTGGCTTCACAGCTGGGTGCCCGCTGCACATATATATATAAATATAAATGTTTTTGTGGGATTTTGAATATGGGTCTTCAGTTGAGTACATAACAGAAGAGTCACAGGTACGAGAACTGCAGAGCTGAGAGATTTGAAGACAGCATGGAAATGACACTCAGGGCATGGAGAGTACAGGTAAACATATAATAAAAAAACATGCATTCGTTTTGGTTGGGACGTACACACACACACGGATTTAACACTGACATTACACAATTACTCATTGACTTACCAAGTATCCAGCCGCCATCAAATATTCCCTTCTCAAAATTTTTCATAAAGTTGTGACTGCCGTAGTATATGGGTGTCTTGTACAGAGCCAGGGAAGCCAGTCACCATTCCATGCATGAAGGCAAAAAACCTTTTGTGTGCAGTGCCCCCCCCCCCCTATCCCCACCCCATTCCTTACCTGAGTCCACTCTGATCCAGTGATGTTCCTGATAGCCTTGGCTTTATGGGGACCCTCCTTTCTCATTGGCTGAGAGAGCAGTGGGAGCCCCTTGACTCCCACTGCTGTCAATCACAGCCAGTGAGCCAATGAGCAGAAAGCACCCACACGGAAGAAAAATATAGTTGATATATATTTTAAAAATATTCCTCCCAAATATATTGACATAGATTTGAAATGCTACAATTTTGGCTACATTCAATATATATCTCAATAAATAAATAAACAAATATATATATATATACATACACTGAATGTTGAAATGCATATTTTATATATTACAAAATATATGAAAAATATTTTTAAAAATATATTTTTTAAATATATTCTTCAGATTTTTTTAACATATGAAATTGTCATTTTAACATACAGTCAGGTCCATAAATATTGGGACATCGACACAATTCTAAATTTTTGGCTCTATACACCACCACAACAGATTTGAAATGAAACAAACAAGATGTGCTTTAACTGCATACTCTCAGCTTTAATTTGAGGTTATTTACATCCAAATCAGGTGAACGGTTTGTAGGAATTACAGCAGTTTGCATATGTGCCTCCCACTTGTTAAGGGACCAAAAGTAATGGGACAATTGGCTTCTCAGCTATTCCATGGCCAGGTGTGTGTTATTCCCTCATTATCCCAATTACAATGAGCAGATAAAAGGTTCAGAGTTCATTTCAAGTGTGCTATTTGCATTTGGAATCTGTTGCTGTCAACTCTCAAGATGAGATCCAAAAAGCTGTCACTATCAGTGAAGCAAGCCATCATTAGGCTGAAAAAACAAAACAAACCCATCAGAGAGATAGCAAAAACATTAGGCGTGGCCAAAACTGTTTGGAACATTCTTAAAAAAGAAGGAACGCACTGGTGAGCTCAGCAACACCAAAAGACCCGGAAGACCACGGAAAACAACTGTGGTGGATGACCGAAGAATTCTTTCCCTGGTGAAGAAAACACCCTTCACAACGGTTGGCCAGATCAAGAACACTCTCCAGGAGGTAGGTGTATGTGTGTCAAAGTCAACAATCAAGAGAAGACTTCACCAGAGTGAATACAGAGGGTTCACCACAAGATGTAAACCATTGGTGAGCCTCAAAAAACAGGAAGGCCAGATTAGAGTTTGCCAAACGACATCTAAAAAAGCCTTCACAGTTCTGGAACAACATCCTATGGACAGATGAGACCGAGATCAACTTGTACCAGAGTGATGGGAAGAGAAGAGTATGGAGAAGGAAAGGAACTGCTCATGATCCTAAGCATACCACCTCATCAGTGAAGCATGGTGGTGGTAGTGTCATGGCGTGGGCATGTATGGCTACCAATGGAACTGGTTCTCTTGTATTTATTGATGATGTGACTGCTGATAAAAAGCAGCAGGATGAATTCTGAAGTGTTTCGGGCAATATTATCTGCTCATATTCAGCCAAATGCTTCAGAACTCATTGGACGCCGCTTCACAGTGCAGATGGACAATGACCCAAAGCATACTGCAAAAGCAACCAAAGAGTTTTTTAAGGGAAAGAAGTGGAATGTTATGCAATGGCCAAGTCAATCACCTGACCTGAATCCGATTGAGCATGCATTTCACTTGCTGAAGACAAAACTGAAGGGAAAATGCCCCAAGAACAAGCAGGAACTGAAGACAGTTGCAGTAGAGGCTTGGAAGAGCATCACCAGGGATGAAACCCAGCGTCTGGTCATGTCTATGCGTTCCAGACTTCAGGCTGTAATTGACTGCAAAGGATTTGCAACCAAGTATTAAAAAGTGAAAGTTTGATTTATGATTAGTATTCTGTCCCATTACTTTTGGTCCCTTAACAAGTGGGAGGCACATATGCAAACTGTTGTAATTCCTACACCGTTCACCTGATTTGGATGTAAATACCCTCAAATTAAAGCTGACAGTCTGCAGTTAAAGCACATCTTGTTTGTTTCATTTCAAATCCATTGTGGTGGTGTATAGAGCCAAAAATGTTAGAATTGTGTCAATGTCCCAATATTTATGGACCTGACTGTATATTTTTACATATATATGTAAATGCATTCCAAAAATGTAGATTGAATGTATTTTTAAAGACATATAGTATATTTGAAATGTATTTGTAAAAAATTTTTTCAGATATGTTTATATGTTGTAATAAAAATGCATTTCAACATGCAATATATATATTAATATATATATATATATATATATTGAAATATATTGAATATGGCCAAAAGTGTAGCATTTCAAATAAATATGTAAATATATTTGGGAAGAATATTTTTAAAATATATTTCAAACATATTTTTCTTCCATATGGGCAGGGAGCTGAGCCATGGCTGTATGTGTCTTATGCAATTGTGCATGCAATGGTGCCCCCAGGACAAGCAGCTTTCTCTGAGGGCATTGCTTGAGGGGCAGGAGCTAGATGCACCGGCGGGGGACCCGAAAATAAGAGGATTGGGGCAGCTGTGCGCAAAACTATTAATGACATGTTTGATTGATATATATATATATATATATATTTTTTTTTTTAATTACGCTTTAATATCACTTTAAAGCACAACTAAAGTCCACAATACTTACCTCTGCTTCAATGTTCCGACCCCCCCATGAGGTTCCTTATCAGCACATTCATCTTCTCCTAGGCTTCCTCTGGGTGCGTCTTCATCTGTCTTGATGGGCCAACATGGGATAACATTGCTCTGCCGTACATGCGCAGTTCAGTCATCCTGGCACACAGGTACTTGGAATGTAAATTGAACTGTGCATTCTACAGTTAACTGCAAACTGGTAGGTAATTTCAATTTATAGCAGAAAAGACATTGCATATCTCTTCTGGAATAAAGAGCTGGCCTGCTCACAGTTTCTAATTTGAGACTGTAATTTCCTCTGATCTCAATTGCAAGCTCAAACTCAAAGCATGCTCTAATATAGAAAAAAATCTTCCCTGCATGAGCTGCCTCTCTCTGGAGATAGCAGGGACCTGCACTATACCATTTTATACAGAAATGGCTGTTATCATCAAGATAGAGTGATTCTAGTTCTGTTCTTTGTGTATATAAAGAAGCCTGATGTGGAGATTAAGATAACTACAGCTCGCCATACACTGATTGAAATTTGTCTGGTTCAGCAGGGACAAGCTGAATTTTGATAAGGGTGTGACAGTCCTCACTCAACAGAAGTCAATCTTTTGTTTGACTTCTGTCAAAGGAATATGTTGTAAAATGTTTCCTGATCAGTAGCTGCAGCTGCTGATCAGTTTATTCTTACAGTTGCAAATGTTGCTGTCAGAATACAATGTCTGAGCAGGGGTGATTCCTCCATCCACCTCATTTGTGTGACTGAATAAAAAAAATTAAGTGTATGGCCAGTATTAAGTATAAGTTGTGGGTAGAACATTTTGTAAAGGTGAAGCTGCAGTTTAAAAGCCTTGTGACTTGAGGCTCAGATGTGACATTTTCCCTTACAGGCACCTAACAGTTCTTTCCTCATCCTGCTGCAATGTGTGAATGTCTGCTGATTTTTGCGCTGCAGATTAATATGTAGTACTGGAGCTGAGTTAAATTAAACGAATAAAAAAATCCAGGTCATTGGCCGGTAAAAAAAAAAAAAAAGACTCCCGGCAATTTTGCTCCTCCATAAATAGCACAGTCACATGGAATGAATGTAAGATCGGCAAAGATTCAACAACACGAACTGCCATTGAAAACAATGAAGGCAAGGAAGGCGCACGGAGCGTGAAGAATTTCAATGTGATTTTCATTCAATGTGTAAAATAAGATTTATACTATGTCTATATATAGGGAGAAAATATAGAATTAGAGATATATAAGTAAATGGATAGATAGATAGATAGATAGATAGATAGATAGATAGATAGATAGATAGATAGATAGATAGAGCAGATATACAGATAGACAGATATACAGTATGTGTATATTTACAGAATATGTCTATACATTAATATAAATGTATACAGTAGA